TGGCAGAGCCCTATGCAGTGCCGCTGGCACCTTGGGGTTGGTGGCATGCGAGGCATTCGCTTGGCGTGCCATGGGCCACGTGCAGCCTCACCTGGGTGGCACAGTGCCAGGCAGGGCTGGGGAACCTGAGCAGCCCATACCCTGCTGGGCAAATGCAGGGCAAGAAGCAGCAGCAATGCCCACCAGCAGACACTGGTGACACGCTCCTTGTCCACCCCATCCATCAATGAGAAATCAGGGTGTTGGTGAACCATTAAATTGGCCCAGAGAGCACTGGGGCGGAAGCATCTACATGTCAACTGCAGCTTTAGAGTTGGAAATTCCCTCCTGGCTCCAGGAGAGGGGCGGCACACGGGGCTCCCGGGAACTCCCGGCCGCACGCATGGCCCTGGAGCACATGGGTGTGTGTGCCAAGGTGCGTGTGTGAACAGGCAGCTGCAGTGTGCACGCTCAGGTTGCACGCCCACTCATGGTCATGCCTGCACGTGGGCATACGATTCCATGCGCGCACTCTTCGCTGTGTGTGTGAGAATCTTGTGTGTGTGCAAAAGGTTTGCCCACGTGGCTCCATGCATGCCCGTCAGTGCATGGCAAATTGTTGGCATGTGTTTGTCGGTGACCCCATGTGTTTGCTTGCATGTATCTTAGCTCTGTGTCACCGCTGCTCTCCCTCTGCACCGTCCCAGTTGCTCTGAATGCTGACTCGCTGGGAGATGTCAGAGTGCAGAGGCTGTGCTGTGGCTGGGAACACTGTTCCTTGGCTCCATCCCAGTCTTCCACAATCTGCTTTCCCCAGGGGCTGCCTCAGTTTTCCTACAATGGGCTGAACGCGCATGGCACTGGAAGACTGGATGCCACCTAAAGCCTGGGGAAGGCAGGATGCTGTTGTATGGGGTCTGACCTGTGTCCTCCCTGCCATTGTCCCAGAGATTGAAAACCCCAAAAGCCAGAAACGTAGAGGGAGAGGAACCTAGAAAACCAAGATCCCAGCGTCCTGGGAAACCTCATTTCCCTAGCAGCTCTCAAATGCCCAGCAGTGCCCCGGGGCTCCCTAGATCCTCTCCTCTCCAGACCATTAGAGACCCCCCCCGTAACCCCCAAAGCCCCGCAGCATCCCTACCGTAGCCGTGGCAACGCGGGATGTGCGATACGGGACGGGGCGCTTTGCGGGATGCCGGACGGCCGCTAGGGGGAGCCACGGCCCGGCCGGGGGGGGCTGGGGTGCGTGGGGATGTATGGGGGTGGGCACGGGATGGTTGTGTATGGAGGGACATGATGGGGTGCGGGGGGGAATGATCGCAGATCTTGGTGCTGGGCAGTGCAACTGCAAAGCTTCTGAAGGGAAAAAGGGAAGTAGATAGTATTTTGGTTAAAAATAATAACAATGCCCAAGTGCTGCAATGTTAATGGCTTCATTTTTATTTATTTGCTTTTCGAATGGGATGAGCACAATTTTCCCTTCAATTTCTTGAGCTGAAAACAGCCAGACAGATTAATTCAATCAAACTTGGGGAAAAAAAAAAATCCCGTCTGGACAGAGACCAAAAAATAGAATGTTTTGGCCAAAAAAAAAAAAAAAAAAAAGCTTTTTAGGAAAGTTTGTAGTAATACAGACAGGGGGAGGATCCAAGCCCGGATAGTGGCTTGGCTGAGGGAAAGCTCAGATGGCAGCACCCAAAAACATCCACAACCTCTGAGAAGTCCCAGGCAGAGCTCCCACCGCCCTGGCAGTGCTCTCCCAAGGGTCCCCATGTCCTCCCAGCCCCTCCAGGCACCTGCTGCCACCACCCTGCTCTGTCCCTGCTCTCTCCAGCTCCAGGGACAGGTGTCGCCTGTACAGCCATGGGACCCCATCCATTTTGAGCTGCCCAGCACATCCCCAGCCCTATGCCCCCATCACCACTCCAGCCACCAGCACGGCCCTTTGGGATGTGCTGTCCCTGCCAGAAGCAGGGCTCTGGGCTCACTGCCACATGGGTCCTCTTCCCAGCCTTACCAGCATCCCGACTCGCAGGCTGTCCCAGCCCCTGGCAGCTGGGCGGACAGGCTGGGCTGGCTGTGTGGCCGGGTGGCTCGCACCTGAGTCATGGCAAGCAGCCCCAGGCAGGTCGCCGGCCATGAGCCAGGGGGAGGGCAGTGATGCTGGAGGCTCTGTGGTGAGTAATGCCACTGCCAGGGGCATGGTCATCCCGTTCCCACCCCAAACATTGACTCATGCAGTCGTCACTCCAGTCCCATAGGCAGGGGAAGTAGGAAGACGGTGAGGAGTGAGCTGCATGGGTTCCTTCCTCCCCCTCCTCCTGCTCCAGTTCCCCATGCTGCTGGCATCAGGCTGATGCTGGTGCACCTGTCCTGATGCTTCTCCACCACCATCCATCCAGCTCCACCACACTCAGGGATTCCCTGGTGCTCCCTCCTGCACTGACCTCTATGAGATTGTCTATGGACATCCCAAATCCCCATGGGTTCCACAGAGTCCAGTGCCAAAACCTGGAATGGTTCTGGTTCTCTGAGCTGTATGGTTTAGGGATAGATAGTCCCAAAGCAGAAGGGGCTAAAGAGTCTGAGGTTGCCCAGAAGAGCTGTGAATGTACCATCCCTGCAGTGCTCAAGGCCAGGTTGGATGTGGCTCTGGGCACGCTGATATATTGAGAGATGCTTCCATGGCATTGGGGTTGGATGAGATTTTCATGGTCCTTTCCAAAGCACAAAGAGAAAGAAGTGTGGGGGTGGGGGGGCACCTTGGTTGGGCAGGGGGGTGAGAAGGACAGAGAGGAAGGGAGGGAGGTGTGTGTGTGGTGAGGGGTGGACAGCTGTTTCCAATCCCCTGCATAGAGCACCTGCTCATGTACCACAGAAAGTGCTGAAGTGTTTTACCCCAGGCAGTGCAGCCCACAGTGCCCTGTGCCAGCACTTTTCTTGCCAGCCCTGTGCCCTCTGCATACAGCCCTGCTTGGAGGGGCCCGATCCTGTTCCATGGGCTCTTATCCATGGTTCCCAAGCCAATGACAAATGTTTAATCCTGTGTTTAAGGGCTTTGCTGGCTCACCCGGCTCTCCCTCAGCACAGGAACGTTGTTGGGACAGGAGGATCAACCTTCCCCCCATCCACCTCTGCTGCCAGCATCGAATTGGTGGGATGTGGGGCTCCTCCCGCAGTCAGTGGGAGCATGTGGGTGAGATGCACGCTCTTGGAAGCGGTTATGTCGTTAGGGGCTGGAGGAGGATGAAAGCGTTCCCCCCTCTGGTTTGCCTTGGCACTGATTTGTATGCAGGATCCTAGCGAGCGCACAAACATCTGCGCCACCGCAGCCCATGCACTGGGGACCCTGGAACTGCGGGAGACACTTTCCACGGGCTCTGCCCCTGCAGTACGGACCTCGGTGGGGATGCCACCCCTGGTTCCCACAGTCTCCACGGGAAACGGCACAGCCTTGGGGCCCAGCACCAGCTCACAACTCATTGCCCAAAGGAAATGCGTTTTCCTCCCCGATGCAAACAGGAACCGACACGCCGGCGAAGCTGGCAGCCCCCGCCAGCGCAGCTGTGCCGGCACAGAGACACGCGGTGTCCGCCTGGGGGGAGCACGCAGCCGGCTGCCGGCGTGGCGTGGGCTGTGGTGGCTGGGGACAGCGGGAGCTGCGGGGCACTGCCTGCCCCTCCCGGCCACCTGCACCTGCTAGCTCCCAAGGGGCTTCATGGCAGGGAACTGAGCTCAGGGGACAGCACTGTCTCCACTGCCAGGATGAGACGGGCTAAAGCAGACGATGCCCACTGACAGCCCACTACACGTGGCTCTCTCTGTGCGTGCTCACTCCATGCCCCATTTGTTTACCCTCTGCCACGCACGCTCCCCCGTGCAACACACACCCAACTCACTCTGCACTCACCAACACTCCGCACGAACAGCATGCAAGCACATGCTCACGCCACCAGCTGCACGCAGCTGCCGTACACTCCACACACATTCACCCCCACTTCACCTTCTCCACGCTCCTCGCACACTCACCATGCACACTCACTGCACCATGCACAACCCATGCAGGATACACACTTCCCCTTATCACACACTCACTCGTGCTGTGTACACTCCCCCCACACCCTATGCGTGCTTACTCTGTGTTACAAACACTCCTCTGTACTCACGAATTCACTGCCCGTGCCCCATGCACACCCACCCACACTCCGTGCACTCACCTGCACTTTGTGCACACTCACACCGTGCACTCTCACCCCACACTCTGCATACGTCCACCCCAAGTCACGCACACTGCCACGCTCTATGCACACCCTTTGCACACTCACCCAACTCCTCGTGCACTCACCCATGCCCACGGGCTCCTGCCCTGTGCGCACTCCCCGGTCTCCTCGCACACTCACCTTGCGCCCCGTTCACCAACGTCTGCATACACGACCCCCGCACCCCTGACGCCCCGCTCGCTCCCCACGCACCCTTCCCCATCCCGCACGCCTCATCCCGGCTCCCCGCACGCTCTTCCCCGCTCCGTGCCCGCTCCCCCCGCGCCTCCCGCTCCCTCCCCGCCAGGCTGCGTGCGACACGCCGCCTCCCCGCCCCGCTGCCACCCTCTCTGCCCCGTCCTTCCCCCGCGGGCTCCTGTCTGGACGTGTCGGGACTCGGGCTTCGGGCGCTGAGTAATGCTCGGCGCAGCGCGATCCCAGGCAGAGCCGCCGCCGCCGCCGCTCCGCGCCCAGCGTTGCCGGGGCGCTCCGGCCGCGACCCTGCCCGCTCGGCCCGGCGACACCGGCGGGGGGCGGCGGGGGGGCCCGCGGCTCCCCATGTGCCTGCGGGCCCCGAGGGAGCCCCCGCGCCGCTCGCCCGGCCACCCCCTCCGGGCGCCCTGCCCACGCCCGCCGCGGCCCCGGAGCCTCGGGGCGCCCTGGGGAGCGGCGGCCGAGGGCCCCCCCGGCCCCCTGGGCCGCGCCGCTATGGGGGGCTGAGGCGGGAGGCTGAGCGCGGCGGGGCGGCGGTGGGCAGGGCGGGGGGCACGCAGCCCTCGCCGGGCTCGGAGGGCGCTGGGGCGGCGGGAGGCGGCGGGGGGGGCATCCCGGGAGGATGGCAGAGCCGCCCCGGCGAGCCGAGCCCCGGCGCGCAGGGAGCCAGTGAGAGGGAGGAGAGGGGAAAACACAAACAAGCAAACAACCCACAACAAACAAAGCGGGCAGAGAGCAGCGCCGAGCCCCGCCGCCCCTGCCCCAAAGGCGCCCGCCCGCCCGCAGCCCGCACAGCCGCTGCCCCAGCGAAGATGCGCCCGGCCCTGGCCCACGGACTCTGCTCGCTGCTGCTCAGCCTCTGGGTACCCAGGTAGGAGCTGCCCCCACCCCCGGCGCCCCGGCCCCCGGCGAGCCACCGCGCACAGCCCAGCTCCGCGGTCGAGCTGCGGAGGGGCTCCACGAGTCCTCCCCCTGATGCGGTCCTTACCCCGGTACGGTCCCCCCGCCGCCCCGCGCGCCCCGCCGCCCCGCTCCTCGCGCTCCGGGCGCTGTCAGGGCCTCTGCTCCCCCCGCTCCGGGTGCTTCTCGTCATCCTCCCGGCCCGAGCCGCTCCAGCGGCTGCCCGGCCTGCCTCAGTTTCCCCGCTCTGCCCCGCGGGAGGTCGGGGGATGCGGGAGCGGCGCCGGGGGCCGCTGCCGCCGTCGAGGGAGACGTGCCGCCGGCATCGGTGCCTTCGGGCCCTGCACCCGGGGACCGCGCACCGGGGCGGGGGATAAGGCCCGGTTCCCCCCCCCCCCCAACCCGGCTCTGCCGATCCTGAAGGCGAACTGGGGCGGCTGGGGGCCGCCTGCCTTCCAGAACGCGGCCCCCCACAGCACTCACCGCCCCCGTCCGGCTCCATCTCCCCGGGGTGAGTGGGAGCTCCCCTCTGCCCGCTCCGAAACTTGTGCGCTGCAGGCAGCCAGGGGTTAACGCTGCTGCTGGTGGGGGGGAGTCCCCCGCCCTTCCCCCTCCCTCCAGCCCCTTTAAATATAATTTGTTAACGTTGGGCCTTGTATTAATTAAAGCAGCAGCCGCTGCAGCCTGTGACCTGGGGGCTTGTCACCGTGAAATCAAGTTTAAATCCTGATTTCAAGGGGGGAGAGAGCTGGGGGGAGCGCTGTGTCCTCCTAGGGACGGTGACAGTGACAGCCCCGTGCGGGTCCCTCACTCCCATGAGCTCTGGGAGGAGCGAGAGGCAGCAGGACCTGCCCTCCTCTCCCGAGGCCCTACAGAAGTGCCCCTGCCTCAGTTTCTCCTCTGTGCTATGGGGAGAGTGACAACATTATCTATCCCCCGGGGTGCTGCTGGATGAAGGTGGCAGGCACTGGAGCTGGGTCAGGACAAGCAGGGGATAAGGTCCTTGCTGTGCTTGGGGAAAGAGCTGCTGGGCCTGGGGATGGTGCTGGCCACAGATGCCCTCTCATCTGGTGTCAGCCAGGTACTGTGAATGGGAGCTAGAGCCAGGCAGAGAATCCTTCTTGTGTGCTATGGACAGATATGCTCCCTTGCGTTTCTCTCTGCTCCCACCTGCCCTATATTTCCCTTTTGCAGTCAGTGTGGATTTGTGGTGGGGCAGACCTATGGATTGCTCCATGGCAGTGGTGGGATGGGTGTAAATGCACTTGAGAAGCTACAGACAGCAGCAGCCTGACGCTGACAGCTCCCTTCATCCTGACCAAGCTTTAACTCTGCAAGGACACCAGGCTGAGCCCTTCCTCCTTGGTTGGGGGAGTCAGCCCCTGCCTCCAGTGCTGCTTCTCTCCCTCGCCTGGCAGGGCCTGAGGGAGCAGAGAGAGAGCAGCCCTCCTTCCCAGGGCCTGCATGCTTCATGTGGGAACTGCAGTCCCTCCTGCAGCATTCTCCTCCAAATCTCACTTCTGTAACCTAGGTTCAAAGGGCTCCTGCACCCTGCTCCTACCAAGATCCCAACTCCTGGTTGTTCTGGAGGACAGGGATCCCTGCCTGGAGACTGAGCTGTCCTGAGTGAGGAGAAGTGCTGAACCCTGGTGCAAGGTGCAGGATGCTCTTTGGCATCTCGCTGCCTGCTGTGCACCCTGCAGGTCCTTAGCTTGCACACTGTGGGTCCTACCCATCTTCTTCTCCACATCTGCCTGTGCTGGCCATACCACCCTCATCTCCTGTCTCCCACACTTCATCCACTTCTCTATTTCCCAAGACATCATCTCTGCTTGGAGAAGTACCTGCACCCCACTGCCTTGTCCCCATCCATCTGCCAGTGCTTTCTGGTCTTAGAAGTGACTGCCATCATGGTCAGTGGTGTTGGGATGTGACTATGGATGGGTTTGGAATGACTGCCGGAAGTTTGTGAGTAATGCATCAGGGTGCTCAGCTCTGATTTTCCCAGCCAGGAAAAGGCTGGTCCCTCTGGTCACTTCCCTTGTGAGGACCAGCAGTGCCATACAGGGTGCAGCGTGGACAGAACCACACCTGGGATGGATCTTGTGCTCTGGAGTCTCTGTGGATGGACAAGTAAAACCTGAGTAAAACCTGCAGCATGCTGATTTGTTGTCACCTGCAGGCAGCAGGCACTGTGTGGGGAGAGGAGCATCTCCCCTCCCATGTGCCCCCGCAAGGTCTTCCCCCTCCCCAAGCTCTCAGCACCTTGCTCACCCCAAGCTCACACGTTTCCCTTTGCCCCCAAGCTCCTGTTCCAATGAGATCCTGGGCCTGAAGCTGCCATCGGAGCCGGTGCTGAACGCCAACACGGTGTGCCTGACCCTGCCGGGGCTGACGCGGAGGCAGCTGGAGGTGTGTGTGCGGCATCCTGACGTGACAGCCTCAGCCATCCAGGGCATTCAGATCGCCATCCACGAGTGCCAGCACCAGTTCCGGGACCAGCGCTGGAACTGCTCCAGCCTCGAGACCAAGAACAAGATCCCCTACGAGAGCATCATCTTCAGCAGAGGTAAGGGCCAAAGGGACCCGCTCCTTTTCTCATCCTTTGCTCAGAAACCGCTCTCAGGATCCTCATAGACTCCCCGTGGGCACTCCACATCTCCTCTGTAGCCCAGGGGACTGGGCCAGATCAGCATCCTGCAGGTGAAGGCAGGGATATGAAGAAACGAGAAGGTCTGCCAGAGCAAGCAGCAGCAGATCTGGGCTCTTCTCTACGTGTCTTCTTTCTCGACCTTGTCCTGAGCTGCCCAAAACTTTCCAGCTTCCCTCCCCATAGATGTAGGTGGATGCCTTACTCTGGGATTCGGTTCGGGATGGACTGAGTGTCCTGTCTCACTCCCACTCCTATGCAGGAACAATGTTTTGGTGCATCATGGTGAGCAGAAGCAATGAGATGTAGGTCTATGAGCCTATCATCTTGGTGTCCTGCCTTGGAATTGGCTGCCCAGAGCTGAGGGCTCTCTGTCTGCAGGACTATGGGGCATGGAGGTTGGACCACCTGGGGACAGGCAGGCTCCCCTGGGAGCTCTGCTGCCTGCAGCTCAGGGTAGTGGCCTGATGGTGGGACCTTCTGGAGGACTTGGGTGCGTCTTCTTGCTGTGCATGGGGCCTGATGCTCAGCACACAGCAGGGTGCTCGTTGGTCCATGCCATGGATGAGAGAGGCCAAGGCAGTGCTGGTGGCAGCGCCAGCACCTCAGTGAGCAGTGCCCAGGTTAGGGCATGGCAGGGAGGGTGGGGACCAGCAGCCCTGATAAGCATCGTGGTATTTCCAGGTCTCGGAGGAATGCATTTGCTTCTGCTCTCCTCAGGAGGCAGAGACACAGGTTCACTGGCTTGAGCTGCTCCTGCACCCAGGTGAGGTGCCACTAGCATCCCACCAGGGTGGTGAGAAGCTTCAGCAGAAAGTGGCAGAGACACCACAACATTCTCAACCCCAGGACACCATCTGTGGAGATGTTTCTGTCTCCTGCTACCAGCACTTTGCTGTGATCCAGGAGGAGGATGGAGATAAGGATGCTGGGAGGTGGGCACCTCTTTGGGATGCAGGATGAGCTCTGAGCACCATCCTATGTGGTTGCTCAGAACCATTTTGGCATAGAGCAAGTCTCAAGGCTGATGCCCTGATCTGCTTCCAGCCCACTCAGATTTCTCAGTACTGGAGCTGGAGCTCTGGGCTCTGCCTTGCAGAGACTCACAGGAATGGAACAACCATTGAAGCAGGGATGTAGGGTGCATCTCTGGAAGGAGAGGCGAAGCAAGGGGTGCAGGCTCCATGCCGCAGGCATTAATGCATCTGGTCTGCAGGGATCAGGTCTCTGCCCCATCCCTGCCATGCCTGGGAACGCAGCACACTCGAAGGATCGTTGTTTGTAACCTGAAGTGACAGACCCCTTTAATCTTTCATTCCTTTTCCCACTTCTTCTGCCATCAGTTCAGCCGTGCGTGAACCTCACTTTAAATTATTTGTAGCTGCCTTCTCCTTCTGCTCTCCCCGCTTCTGCCTGCTCCACCCTGTCCTCCCACGTCTCACGCATCTCCCCAGCACTCAGCACCATACACCCAGCCCAGTTCAGTCCCACAGAGCTGGGGCTTGGTCCCATAGACCTGATGCAAGCCCTGGGGAGCTGGGAAGAAGCAGGGAGGCTTCACATTGGGCTTGGTGGGAACCCTATTCTGGACAGAATAGTGGGGAAAAGGATGCTGATGGCCAGCAGGGGCAGGTGTACAGAGATCTGCTGTGGATTGTCCCTGGTGCCCAGGAGCTGTTGGCTGGGCTGCACCATGCATGGGTGTATGCCAGAAGCTTCACTGCAGGTGACCCTTATCCTGGTCCTGCACATGCCAACGCACCCATGGCGCAGTGCAACACTGGCACTGCCTGGCTGTGGGGCAGAGGCTGCTTGAGGGGTGCTGAGGGGTCCAGTATGTGTCTGTGCCCTTGGCTCATCCCAATCCCATCTATTTACAGCTCTGAAAGAAGTGGGAACCATACCCTGAGTGTCCTGGAGCGCAGTGTCCCTCTGATTTCCTTTGCAGCCTTTGTAGGCTTGGTGAGGTTTGCAAGCCTGTATCCCCCAGGAAAGACACCCAGGTGCCAAGGGGGCTGTGGGGCCCAGCCAAAGCCTGATTCACCCAGCAAGGACGGGAGAACTTCCTGCCAGGCTGGGAGAGCCAGGTGCTGGGGAACAACCAGCTGTGAGCTGCACTTGGTGTGGGCAGCATGCAGCAGGCAGGTGCTGTTATGGCCGTCCAGAGCTTGGGACCCCGGCGCCCAGCCATGCAGAGCCCTAGCCAAGCACCAATGCCCGCAGACCGCAGTGCCTGGCCAGGCACAGCTGCAGCTGGGTTCTTGGCTGGGTTTTCGCTACCCTCAAGCAAGCTGAGGACTTTGCCCACCTGGCCCTAAAGCACATGCAGGTGCTATGGTTGTTCAGCCGCATCTCTGTGGGTGCCCACAGTCCCTGGATCTTCCCCCAAGGAGATGGGCATGATCAATGCCCTTGGCGATGGGCAGCATCTCTTCTCCCTGCAGCCCATGGAGCTCCTGGCTGGCAGTGCCATGGGCGGATGGGAGCTGCGTGCTCGGAGCGAGGGCTCCAGGCTGTCCCTGGCACGCTTGGGAGGTGCAGGGAGGCAAGTCGCGATCTGCAGGAAGCCGTTTAGCACCTGGCGAGGGGCCAGAGCCTGGCAGGTTCACCTGCAGTTTAATTAGGGAAAGGGGAGGGAGGGAGGGAGCGGGACTGGGGGAGAGGTGGCGTGTTGGGACCAGCCGGCTGTTGTGGGAGGTGGTGGGAGAAGAGCTAGGAAGAGTTTTATGGTGTACAGCGTCCAGCTCTCATTGCCTCAGGAGCCCATGGAGCCCATGGCCACTTCTGGACTGGGACCACCTCCTTGGTCCCACACCCTCCTGAGAGATGGAGCAGCTGCTGTGCCCATGGTAGAGTGCATCTCAGGGTCCCACTAAATGCCCCCCATCTCTGAGGTGTCCAGAGGCAGAGAGCCATGATGGAGAATTTTCCCAGCTAAGGAAGCCACTTCGGGATCTGATGGAGACCCATCCCAGGTCTGAACCTTTTGGACCCATCATTTGCATATTGGAAAGAAAGATCTTTTAGTGGGTGCCCAAAAGTCCTTTAAGTACATGGCAGGCTGGGTCCTGGTTGTGCTGTGAAGGTCTTGTCCTCCATTCTCTCTTCCCAGAAGGATGCAGTGCTTCCCACAGCCCTTCTCCCTGCTTCTCCCATGGCTACAGCCTCTTCTGCAGTTCCTGTAGGGATCTGGTGGCTTTGTAACCATCAAAGTTACAAAGGTGGGCAGCTTGGAGAGACTCCCTCTGAAGGACTGATGCATACCACGCTTGGCTGTGGTTCCTGGAAAATCCTCCCTTGTCCAGATTGTGGTATCTCTGGTTGTCACCTTCAGCCACGTTGCTCACTGCTTTGCTGCCACATCTGGGTTCTTAGAGCAAGGACCATGAGATGACCCTGCATACAGAAATATATTGGCTCAGCTGCTGCCTGGGGACAAGAGCATTGACTGTCCAGGGCCTGGGGGATGGATGCTCTGGAGACAGAGACCCCTCAGCTTTGTCCATCAGCTCCTGCTTGGCTGGAGGGCAGCAAGGGATGGAGAAGAGCTGGGGTTCAACCTCACAGGTTTCCCTGCTGTGGAGGGCACTGAACCAACTCAACCTCTTCACCAGCAAGGAGACAGGCTTCGTAGACAAAATGGGTGGGGTAGTGCTTCTGTCTGGTCTCTAGAAGGGATTTTAAGGAGATGCTGCATGGGAAATTGTGAGTTAGGTTGGGGGAACTTGAGAATGGGGCTAACGGAAAGGCAAGGCTGGAGTGGAGAGCATGGTGCTTCGTGGAGGAGCTGGGCAAGGGCAGGGGCAGCCAGGGGCACAGAGTGAGGAGGAGGCAGAAGGGCTGGGGAGGGGGGACGGAGAGGGGCACAGAGGCTGTTCGGGTGTGGATGTGTTACCAGCACTGCCTTCCTGGGAGCTGCACCATTACCTGCCTGATGAAAAATGTTGTTCAACTTGTGCATTGGAAGGGACTGGCTCAGAGCAAGCTTGTCCGACACTGAAGAGAAGCTGGGAGAGGCTCCCAGTTGCTTTTAAGCAGCACCTTGTTAATTTTTTAAATGCAGCGGTGTCAAATTAGCACACAAAAGAGCAGCACGACTTTAAATGCAGGTTTCCGAGATGCGTTTCATTTCCCTTTAATAAGATTATAGCATTTGCTCAGCAGTCGGCCACGAACCATGGAGGAGGCATGCGTGCTGGCGAGCATCACCAGCAATGAGCCCACACGTTGGGCAGTGTCCCTGTCCCTGGCCGCCCCATCTGCAGCTAATGACATGTGCAAATGTCCTCACTCCCCAGTGTGTAATGACAACCAGCTGCCTGCCCTGGCAGGGTGTGGTGTGGTCATGGCACGTTCTAAAAGTGGGGATGCGCAATTTTTCCAGCATTGTATCACATTGGTAAGAGATTCCCACAGCTGGGAGGGAGGTGACCATCCTTTGGGGTGCATCCCATCCTTGCTTCCCAGTGCTGGGGCTCAGGAACGGGCCACGAGCGCACCCAGAGGGGTTCTGCTGGTGCTCCACGAGCCCATCCTGAGCCCCGCTCTCTCCATCCCTGCAGGTTTCCGGGAGAGCGCCTTCGCTTACGCCATTGCGGCTGCTGGTGTGGTGCACGCCGTCTCCAACGCCTGCGCCCTCGGCAAGCTGCAGGCATGTGGATGTGACCAGAAGCGACGGGGCGACGAGGAGGCTTTCCGCCGCAAGCTGCACCGGCTCCAGCTGGAGGCCATGAACCGTGGCAAAGGCATGGTGCACGGTGTGCACATGGAGCACATGCCGGCCGAGACCCCTGGCCTCCAGGACTCCTGGGAGTGGGGTGGGTGCAGCCCTGATGTGGACTATGGGGAGAAGTTTTCCAAGGATTTCCTCGACTCTCGGGAAACCTACAGGGACATCCACTCACGCATGAGGCTGCACAACAACCGTGTGGGGCGGCAGGTGAGCGGCATCAGGGTGATGGCGGCGGGGACAGCAATCCCAGGTCTGATTCCCAACCTGGGCATCCATCCTCACTGCCAGAGGAAATACCCACCATACAGCACCTCTGGGATCTGGGCTGTGGGGTCTGATTGCCCCAGGTGCAAACAGGAGGTGGCAGGGGGCTGGCAATGGCCTTGTCACTCACTTGTTGGTGGCTTCAGAGACATGAGCTAGGTGGGCAGGAGAAGGCTGGAGCTGGAAGAAGAGGAAGAGGAGGGCTGAAGGGATGAAGGAGGGGAAGGCAGTGAGGCAGCATTGATCAGGCAGGGTGCCCAGCTCCAGAACTTTGGAGAAATGAGGGTGCAGTCCCTTCGGAGATTGAGTTGTAATGACTGTAGGAGCTGTGCATGGGAGCCATGAATGGGGGCAGGATGGTGATGCCATACCTGGCCACTGCCCCTGGGTGCCACAGCTCCTGCTGAGGCTAAATCTAGCCAAGTGCACTGCTTGGGGATGGATTCTGCACACTCCACAAACCCATGCCATGCCCTCACTCCTAGGAATATCTTTCTGCACGAATAAGGAGCAATCTGCTGGGGATTCCCCAGGAAGGATTGGCAGTGCTGGGTGCAGCAGCTCTGCAGTCTTCTCCTCTCCTGGGGTGGGAATACTGAGCTCTGATCCCTTGAGCAGTGCTTGGCCACCATGTGCAGAGCACTGTCCGTTTCCATGCACCAGCCTTAACCACTGCATCTTTATCACTGAGGATGCTCAGCATGTGCATCACAAGGGTTCTCTGCATGTAGAGAGGGCCAGCACATGCCTGGCTCCCAGCTCACACCACGCACTGCCTGGGGAGATGACAATGCCATGGAAGGCCACTGTTGATGGCAGCAGCACGTGGGTTTCTGCAGTGTAGTGGTTGTCACGTTTACCTGACACATGGAAGGTCCCTGATTCAAAACCAGGCAGACTCACCGCTATTCCTTTTTCAAATCCAGCAGTGAAGCACAGCATCCTCCAAGCCATATGGGCAGTGGTCATCGTGGCCCTGAGCTTGTACAGGGAGCCCAAGGGCAACTGGTCGCTTTGGAGCTTCCTATGCAAACTGAGCAGCCCATAGCATGCAGGAGGCTCTGCAAGCCCTCCTAACCCGCCAGATCAGAGAGCAAGAGGATGAAAGGCAGCCTGGAACTACCCATTACCCTCACAACAAAGGGCTACGATAAAGCTCTTATGAGCGTGTCTGGGAGGAGCTGGGAATGTGTGAAAGAAAGCACCGGCGAGTCTGGGCATGTGCTGAACGCGGGTGTTTGTGAGATGGGAGAAGGACCTGGCCAGGGTAGGGGTGTGTGATGGAGAGATGGTGGCAGAGGTGCTCCTGGGACTCATAAGTGCAGTGGGCTTTTGCTCCCCATGAAGAGGGAGAAGCAGCTGTCTGCAGGTTGGGATGCTACCATGCAGGGCTTGGGATGCCTGGCATGCTGGCTTGGGTGGTCCATCCCCATGAGGACTGCAGCTTTGCGTATGGGTTTCCCTGGTTCAGCCACGGGAAAGGAGGTGGAAAGAGAGGGAAGGGATCATGATGACAGCATGTTCCCAGGATGGCAGAAGCAGCTGGTGTTCCCTGCTGGCACACCCAGGGCATGGCAAGCGAATGGGCACAGCTCATGGCCTGCGAGGCAGAGGCTGTTCTCAGCAGGAGACAGGTCTCTCCGCAGGATGAAAGCCAACCTCCAGCCCAGCCCAGACCTCTGTGCCATGTGCCCCGAGCTCCAGGCGTGTTTCCCTGACCTACCTTCATTACCATAAGTGCTTAGCAACGGGGAGATTTACTCAAAAACAAGAAAACAAGCTGCAAAAAATACCCACCCCTACCAAAACAAGGCACTCCTTGTGCATGCATCTCCCCCAGGGATGGAGAAGGAACAGACAAAGAGCACCTAGCACAAAGCAGGGTGGCCAGGATGGCTGGGACGTCATGGGATGTGGCCACGCACGGGGCCACGTGTCCCCTAAACCCCCATGGAGCATAAGCATGTGATTCTATTAGCATGTGTGGGATGCTGTGTGCCAGCCCCAGCCTGGCTTGGGCACCCAGAGGGGTTGGGATGTCCCCGTGGGAGGGGGATTTGCTGGGGCTGGGGGTAGGCAGCCCCATAGGGAAACTCTGCATGCTGAGGCTGAGGCGGTGCAGGAAATTGCCTCCCAACCACGACAAAGCTGGTGGCAAAGTGCTTCAAAGTGCTTTCCATCTCTCTGTGCTTTGTAATTTGGAGCTAATTTCCCTTATTATGTAGTTACTTCTGGGCCAAGGGGTGCAGAGTGGGGCATGGGGACTGGCCTGCTAACTTCCTCGCTGCTCCTGAGGTAGCAGCAGGAGATGTTCTGTCCCTGAGCCAGGGATGGAGCCTATGGAGCCTAGAGCGGCGCAAGCTGCTTCTGTCTGAGGTGTGCAGCAGCTCTGTGCCCATGGGTTACTGGGCATGAGCTGTTTGCCTTGGTGTGGCCAAAGCAGATTGGCAGACCCTGGCTGCTGGCACTGTCCCCTCCTCCTGGCATAGCCACAGTGGTCCTCCTTATCCCTTGGTTAGCCACGTTCCTCCACCAGTGCAACTGTATATAATCACAGAATCATCAAGGTTGGAAAAGACCACTAAGATAATTTAGTCCAACCGTCAATTCATCCCTGCCTACTAACCATGCCCTTAGTGCCACATCTCCACATTCTCCAGCACCTCTAGGGATGGAGTGGCTCTACCACTTTCCTGGGCAGTCTGCATCAGTGCATCATCATTCTTTCTGAGAAGTGTTTTTTCCTAGAGCGCTGACTTTTGTGGGAGCAGACACACGGCAATGGCCTCCCCAAATCACAGGCTGAGACTGTGAGCATCTCTGGCTTCTGCTTGAAATTTAGTTCTTGGTGTGACATGGTACTCCCACATCACCCATCCCCAGGGAGCTTACTGTTGCTTTCTCTATCCCCCAAATGCCACATCTTTCCTGCTAACTCCTCTGCCCTCCCGTCCACCCTGCAGGTAGTGATGGACAACATGAGGAGGAAGTGCAAATGCCACGGCACCTCAGGGAGCTGCCAGCTGAAGACCTGCTGGCAGGTGACACCCGAATTTCGCCTGGTGGGATCCCTCCTCAAGGACCGGTTCTATGGGGCCACTCTCATCCGGCCCCACAACCGCAATGCAGGGCAGCTGGAGCCGGGCCACGCACGGCATCGCCGCCGCGCCGGCATCAGCGAGCTGGTCTACTTTGAGAAGTCGCCTGACTTCTGTGAGCGGGAGCCAGCGCTGGACTCGTTGGGCACCCAAGGCCGCCTGTGCAACAAGACCAGCCCGGGCATGGACAACTGCGAGAGCCTGTGCTGCGGCCGCGGGCACAACATCCTGCGGCAAACCCGCAGCGAACGCTGCAACTGCAAGTTCCACTGGTGCTGCTTCGTGGCGTGCGAGGAGTGCCGCATCACCGAGTGGGTCAGTGTCTGCAAGTAGCTGCCCGCTCGCCCCAGGGTGCCAGGGACGAGCTCGCCCTGGCGCTGGGGAGCGATGGATCCGCCGCTTCCCTCCGCTCTGGAGATGCTCAGCACGAGGGCCCTCCGAAACCAGCACTTTGTCATTGTCACCCAGGGTGGGGGCTGCTTGTGCCCACCCAGCCCCGCAGCACCGGGAGCGCACAGCCACGCTGTACAGACTGCTGACACCAGCACCGCTCGGGGGGCACAGGGTGGGCGCTGGGATGGGGTGGGGTGGGATGGGAATGGCGGGGCATGGGGTGGGAGGGCAGGGGGATGCACTGGCATCACACACAGGCTCCTCTGGCTGCGTGCAGGGCTGCGCACCAACTGGGATGGAGATGGAGCATCCCAGGGATGGAGATGGAAGCATTCCATGGGATGGAGACAGAGCATCCCTGGGATGGAGCATCCTATTGGACGGAGGGGGCACAGCCCCCCAGATGGGTCTTGCCTCTTGTAGTGGCATGCCAGAGGGGAGGGTGCCCGGGACTGTGCTGTGCGTGCCTGTGTTATTGTATGGTAAGTTATTTCCCGATTGTGAATAAAAGTGGATTGGAGACAGTGCTGAATGCTCTTCCTCCTGTCCAAGGCTTTGCTCCTGCGTGTGCTAACAGGATGGTTGGGGCCCTCAGGACTGCCCCCCACAGTGCCCTGCTGGCATCACAGCTCTTGGAGCTGTCTGGGTACACGCTGGACTCCATCCAGCCATGGAAATCCTTGATAATGGCCCCATAGCCCTGCAACTGCCCCCGTGCTGCTGGGAGATGCCTGGGGCAGGGCCAGGGACAGAAGCGAGGTACTGCAGACTTGCATCCATCCCTTCTGCTGGCACCCCGCTGCAGTGGCAGGGAGGGCACCTATCCAGCCTGCTGAATCACACTGCTGGTATCTCCCGGCTGATAGCTTCCCTGCTCCTCCCATAGTTTTGCGCCCCTTGAGGCGATGCAAAATAATAAATGAAGGGGAAAAAAAAAAAAAAGAAAAAAAAAAAAATCGAGGGGGAAAATACCAGGCTGGGAGGAAGCATGTGCCCTGGGTGCAGCAGGGAGGAGCCCCGTGTCCTTGTTTCATAACGCTGCTGCGGGCACCCTGAGCCCTGCTGCTGGCTGGGCATGAAGTGTGTCATGGGACAGGATGTGTTTAAAGATGCAGAGAGGGGTTGCAGGCATGGACCATTCTCCCAAGGACATGACTCACCCCCAGCTCAGGGTACAGGTAGCTCCAAGGCATGTGCTGCCTTATCACAAAAGAAGCTCCTTTTCTCGTGGGACCATCCCATGAGCTCCCAGTGCAATACCAACTCTCGTGTTCTGCTTTGCAGTTTCCCTTGCTGTGCATCTGAGATCCACAGGCAAGACATCAGAGAGCCTGTGGTTGCAAAGACAGTGTCCCTGTGTTTCCCTAATTGGTAAACCAGCTGCCAAGTGCCCATCTTCCAACCACACAAGAAGCCTGCAGGACACCTCCTCTCCCATGATAACTATTGAGCCCCCAGAGCCATTTTCTAGGCAGGACTGGGCTCCCTGGGTACCGTGTATCTCAAACCCAACCTCTTTCAGGTTAAGTATAGCCTTCCTCCTTCTCCGGGACAGAAATGCAATCCTCCCTTGACTAGGGAAACTCAATGTGGTTGACTTATCACTGGGGGTTCTTCCCATGTCCCTCTGCCCGATTTGCTTCATTCTTGGCTGGCAGATAGGATTGGTCCCAGTCCCACCAAAGAGTCAAATTTCCTCACATTTGCATGGAGGAACTGTTCCCAACCAACCATATGAATAGGTGGAACTTACTCAGTGTTGTATGTATTATGGAGATTCCTCCACCCGCAGGGGTCATTGCTGCAAAAGGACCATCATCTAGATGGCTTTGCTGGAGTCTTGCAAAGGCTGGTGCCTTTCTCAAAGTTTGAGCTCCCTATTTCCAAGAGTAGGAAATCCTTCCAGCACCTTTAAACAAACTGAAAGTAAATCTCATTTCTTGTCCACACATCTGTGCAGAGCAATGGGAAACCTGACCTTAGTGTGACCACCAACAAGGCGATCGAGAGACCTGAGCTGATCACTCTGCACTTCTGCCAGGTCCGGAGCTGGATGTGTGGCTGCCCAGGTGTGGGTACCCCACGCTGATGCTATCTCATAGCTTGGCTTTGTGCCCACTGTCAGATAAAGCATGCAAGAGCCATGGAGGCAGCACGGCATGCTGTGCTGATCCTTTCCTCTCTCCCCAAACCCCAGCATGTCTCCTGATTCTGGAAAGCTCCAACAAGGGTGGGTGAGGTCTTGGGGGGTGGCAGGAGAGAATGGAGGGGCTGGGACTTTCCCCAGGAGATCACAGGAGGAACTTTGGCTGGAGGGTGGGGGGAACCAGCGAGGAGTTGCTACATCATGCCCCAGTGAGTCGTGAGTAACTCCTCTGGTATTTATTCCCTGCACAGAACAGTCATCACAGCCAGATCCTGCCTGGGGGAATCACTACATGGGAACGCCCAGCCCCATCGAAATTCCATTGCTGCTCCCAGCAGAACCTACATGAAGCAGAGCCACGATGGAATGGCTCTCTGGCACCCCTGCACCATCCCATCCCCTCACTGAGGTGGCATAAGCAGGGACACCAGCACCTGCTGCTGGCAGGCAGAGCATTCTGGGCTGCCAACCCTCACCAGAGCTATGGAAGCAACCAGAGAGTAAATCCTGGCTGCTAGTCTGTTGTTCTGAGGAGAGCAGCTCTTTCCTTGCCTTGCTCTGGACAGCTTGCCCCCAGCAAGCTCTCTGGGTGGGAAGCAGGTGGCCACAGTCTGAGAACCCTCCTGAGAGCCTGGCTGGCACCCTGCTGCAACTTGAGCTGCAGAGAAGTGCTCTGAGGCTTTCCTTGAGTTCAGCCCCAACATGTCGTGCTTGGCACCAGCACCCTTGCAACCCCCCCCCCCTTCTCTCCCCTCCACTCCCCTCCCCCCCCCTCCCCCCCCCCCCCCCAAAGAAAAAAAAAAAAAAAAAAGAATTGGCCCTAGTTGACCTGCTTGGCAAGGCAAAGTACCTACAGCAAGGCAGCTGCTGGCTCAGGAGAGGAACCCAGGAGCCCTGTGCTCACCGCTCCAGGTCCAGCCACCCCCTTGCATGGTGTCCTGGTGATATTGCCTACAACGGGAGGGCAGCTGGCATGCCCAGCACAAAGATTTTGGTTGAGTGACAAGGGAGGCTGGCAGCTGCCTGACTCTACTGCCCCTACTGCCTGGGAAGTATTTCAGCCACACTCAGTCCCCATGGCACAAGATCATGACAGAGTGGCCTGGGACATAGGGCTGTATCACACATTCATAACACAGGCAGTTTGTGGACTGTGCTCTGTGCATCTCACCACCTTGTTATGTGCTCCCAGTGCCATGGTTGTGGGAGATCTGGACCAAAATGCTTTCAGTCTTGTACATCCCACCATTCAACACCAGAAGAACACAACAGTCTCCAGCACAGACCTGTGACCCTCGAGCATAGGGCACCCTCTTCTTTTTCTTATCTATTGACCAGAGTTTGCCCTGGTTGGGCAACACTGACTTTTCTTGGTCCACCATCCAAAGTTGAAGAGAAAGGCAGGTGCCAGGGACAGGGAGGGATGCCAGGGTCTCCTAGAATCCCCAGTTCCCTCCTTTCATGAACCAGATGGAGGGGGCAAGGTGATGTGACAGTGTGGGACACACATGCAAGGACAGATGGGAGAAAGGAGAAAAGCTCTTCTGATACAGATGGAGAACACCAGCGGAGACTCCACTTGTGCCACTGCCATGCTTCCCACCATGGTAAGGTGAGAGAGTTTGGAGATGGAGATGGAGATGAAGATCACACGGGGCAGAACTGGCACAGGAGCGGGCAGCTAGTGCTGGGGAAGTGGGAGCAGGTGGCTGCAGCTGGGGGATGAAAGTACAAGGTCCAAGGGGGAGGACACGGAAGAGGTGCAGAGGCAGCCAGCACAGCCGGGTGAACAGGGAAGGAGTGGGGGGAAGGCAGGGAAAAGAGGCCAAGTGCAAAGAGAGCAAAGGCGGTGGAGAAAAAGAGAGCGTGTCCAGAGAGGCAGACATGAAAGGAGGAGTGAGGCAGGGGAGAGATGAAAGAGCGACGGCACGGGTGCTCCTGCCTACTCCCTGGGGCTCCCGGGGCTCTGTAATCCCCGGGGAGCTGCCTCCTCTCATGTGGTGGCCCGCAGCTGTGTGCGGTCGGCTCAGCCCCGCTGCTCCGCACAGAGGGACTTTCCAGGAGGGGGAGAAACCAACACAAAACACATGACTTAACCATCGCCTGCGAAGTTTGGCACATGCAGGGTCTGAGGGCACCCCAGCGTGCATCCCACTGGGTTTGGGGCCAGCCGCAGGGGTGTTGTCTTCTGCCCTAGGGAGCATCCTGACAGGCAGTGCTCCAAGGTGGTTACGCACATGTCAAGCAGGTGGGATGCGCCTGGATCAAGCATCACTCATGGCCCCATAGAGGACCCACAGAGGCATCCTAGGGCACAGATGTGGGTTTGGAGCCACATGTGCTCTTGTCCCTCTCTCTTGATCGAGTGCTGGTTTGTACCTCCTGGCCACCAGGCTTGTCATGGGGTACCAAGTGTGCAGCAGGACTTAACAGACAAAGCAAGCACCCATCCCACTGGGTCCCTTATTCTGTGGAAGCAGCCCTCCCAGTAAATTCATGACCTGGGATATCTCCATTCTCTGTGCCCAGTTCAGGCCATTGGAGTAGGGAACTTAGTTGTATGAAGGGATGGTGCTGCTGGACAGCCTCCCATTGAACACTGCAGGCAATGAGGATGTACGCCTCCTTAGAGATTATGAACTCTCCAGTTTGGGGCATCCAGGGCAACAGAGTTCATTCCCATGGCAGTCCATTCCCTTTGTCTAAGGTTTGCTGTGCCAACCCTCTTTGCGTGTCTGTGTGACTTGAGTGGACTCATCTAGAGAGGACCTTGGGCATGGGGAGCACCAGAACCCACCTCTGCCCTCCTACCTCTGCACTCTTCCCTTCTTCAAGACAGAAACAGATGGATGCCTGGCAGCATATCTTCCCTGAGTCCCTTGAGAGAATTGCACTTTCAATAGGACCATTTCCTTCCAAAGCCTCTCACAGAGTTCTGTCATCTCAGCTCCATGGGTATCACCTCTCCATGGACATCCCAACAACCCCCATCTATTTGAGTACCTCTGGAAGTGCGCTGGCTTTCTT